GTTAATTGCGAACAGATTTACATAGTAAATAGTCTTATTGCCGACCTTCCAATTTGCACGCGACAATTAAAAGCCCTCAAACAGGTAAAGAAAAATATGTTTACATATGTATGTATGCATACGAGGTATTCGGTATTTACGGCCGTAAAGCGTCTACGATAAGCGGTCAGGTCAATAAAACCGCAACGCAAGCTGACCGTTGATTGGCATTGGGCGGATCTTGCACCCATTTAAAAGCGATATCAAACTGATTTTACCCTATAAACAAGCAGCAAGCAGTAGGCAGCACGTAAGGCGCCAGCAGTGGCAAACAGTTAAATATTCAACTCCCGATTTGGCCTTTATGAATGGAGCCGAGTGTTGAACGGTAGCGTCACATGATTTCGTTTATGGCACAACCGTTATTAAGCTCTCACACACATGCAACCAACAAAAGCTTCAGCCAGGCAACAAGGCGCAGTCGATGGCTATCGGCGCGATTATTTGACAGACTCAAGTGCGTTATAAAATGGGGAATAACAGAAAGCTTTAGAAAATTAGATTTGCTATGGCTCTTGTAGCGCCGCTGAGCAAAAAAAAAAAAAAAAGATGAAGTAAATGTATTTATATATAACTCTTTGCTTACTTAACTAAATCAATGTGGACACTATCGTGCGGGATAATCTCAGGTATTAATTATTTATTGAGTCTTGTGTATCGTAAACTTATGATAGTCCCTCGTACATGTCAAATGGACTATACTACGAAAAAAAAAACTAGATGAAGATTACGCTATAAGACTACAATTTAAGTTTGGTAACTTTACAATGATCTACGGCTTATTGACTCTGAAAGAATACGGCATCTATCCTCAAGACGTAGAAAAAGTTACAGTAGAAGCTCTCTTGAGTGGACTTGACTACAATTCCAATACTTTTGCTCGCTCCTCGACGATATTTGTTTAATTAATTGTATTACCAATACTGCTAACATTTTGCCTTTCGATTAATAAAATGATTGATCCGGAATAATTAAAAAAAAAAAAGGGAGGCTGTCAGTTAGTTAGACCTTACACTGTATTTCGCAGTTAGACAACTTTTTATTGTGTTTCCTTGTAAGTTCAGATACAAGCAAAGAGAACGGCTTTATAATATTTGTGTTAATACGATAAGTTAAATGGGTGTTAACTGACGGATAAGGGCCTCCTCGTTCATGATGACGCAATTGAATATCAATGAAGTCACGGCGATCCACTCTAATCGCCCATGAGCCTTCTTGTTAACGCACGTAGTTCGGGGCGCGTGAGTTGGGCCTCTTAGAATCTTATAAATATATGTCATTTCGAAATACTTGTAGCGCCGTTTTAATCATCTGTGGGGCCTGTCGTTTGACGCAATTAACTTTGTGGGTGCACCGATATGTCTGCTCTCTATTGATTATTGATAATGTAGGCATATGGGCCAGTATCAGGTATTTCTTGGTATCAGTCGTGCGGAGTGCGCAGTTCACATGGATAAGGCTATGCCTGGAGGAGGGAGAAGCGTTATCAAAGCAGATTTCAATCCTACATTGATTGCTTTGAGGGCACTTCTCATAATCAGGACTGGCTATGTAAAACAATGGCCGACAGCAAAACAAGTGGGTGTGACCAACAACTTACGATCTTGATACCATCCAGGCACACTTTGCGCCCCCCGTTCAGCACCTTGAGAGTTATGGCCAAGTAGGTTATAGAACTTATGGCAAAGAATTTCACCACTCACACTATCAAATAATTGCAAAATTCTATTATAACGCTGATTAAAAGATTTCAATGCCATCATTTACTTCGCATGGCTTTTGCTTGACAAGCTGAAGCTGGCAATTAGTAGAATTAGCTGTTAAAATGGAACTAATTGCAATTAGGGCGAAGCAAAAGGTTCAATAAACCGTAGCAGAGAGTGCGGAGCAGATTAGAAAAAATATCCATTTTTCTTCAGTGTGCGAAACTTAAGAAGAGTTGCGAAACACTTATAACAATATATACAACATCTCAATTTTCGGCTCGCTCCTTCTCCCTGTAAAAAGCTAATGAGTGCAATTGAAAGACTTTAAATTCGTATTAAAATAACGTTTAGCTTGTCGAATCAGCTTAAAAGTTTTCTTGCAATTCTCAATTGGTTTAAGCACAAAGGAAGTACAGTTATTTATGAATAGGAAGCTTTACGTGAAAGCTCTAGTTTGTCGAATCAGCTTAAAAGTTTTCTTGCAATTCTCAATTGGTTTAAGCACAAAGGAAGTACAGTTATTTATGATTAGACTTAGTCCGTTAATCTAACGATTTCAGATTACCAGAGATTTATGGAAATGCTTAGCAAACAAATGCTATGATACGAGAACGAATGCAATCGTTTCGATAAAGTGAAAATTATGAAAGCCATAAACGTGTAGAGTGCAAACTAATTGAAATAAATCAGTGCAGAGCTGTGCTGCAACTGATAACCGATAATTATAATGGCAACCTAATGTTGATATAACGACCGGGCAAATATGTCTTTCCATAAACCAGATCATAAATGTCGCCCCGTCCAATTGACTGACACTCCGTTGTTGTTAGTCTGGCATTTGGCTCGCTTGATAAGGAACGTGCCGTGGATCGGCCGAGTGAACCGATCACGTTCACGTGAAGTGCACGCCGTTCCAGATAGCAATAGGGGCAACAACAGCGACAGCTACAGCAATTAAGCCAACAGCGGGCCTGTTGCTCATGCTGTTCACATAAAATGCTTATCATCCGATGAATAATATCTGGCCAGGCAGCAGTCTGTCCCCTCCATCTCCTTGCACTAGCCAGCCTTGCTTATTTGTTCTTTTGCCATTTGTTGTTATTATGACTGCTTATTAAGCGCACAGCCAACCTATTACACGATCCGACATTTCAAAACAACTCCATGGAGGCTGTTCCATCTGCTGCCTTAGTCAGTTGGCCCGCGATATCTGAGCCAAATGCTCTCAAATATTTGCCCAGTAAATGCAAGCAACTAGCTTGCATTAATGTGTGCATATAAATAATTAAATCATCAAATGTTTATAGAACATTCATAATATATTTTACATACGCCATGTTGACCAACTTGCTGGCGACTAAAAGTATGCAACAGTTCTTCGAAAATTAGAACGTGATTTTTATACTACAACCCGACCACATTGTGCCCGTTATTTCAAGCTAATAAACTCATTAGTTCAAGTAGTTTTGATCCCAACTGGTTTAATCATTCCTTTTCAATTTCTTTGTTTTGTTTCGCTTTTGATTGATGAATTTGAGCTGGGGACCTGCCGCTTGTCAAGCAGATCCTCAAAGGTTTTTCCTACACATTTTTTACCACCTTACAGCAATTAGTCACTGAGTCAATATAAAAACTGACGTAGATCGACAGATTTAAATGTGTGACTCTTAAAGAGAAGCTTGCTTAGTTTAAAAAGGCAGCTGTTTTACAAATTTACCAATTCATTTGTCGCCTTGTAGTACCAGTCAAATAAACATTTTATCAGTGCTTCCCATTTCAGAAACAAACAAATTTTCAAAGCGACAACAGTGCTGCAACAATTTCAAAAGTACGAAAAATCTCAGTCCAAATATAGTTTGATAAGCAAATGTTGCATATAATTGATAGACTTTAAAAAGAGTACAGCACACGCACGCACACAGGAACACACGCACACACAGAGACACGTATAGACGCAATGCCTTGCACAGTCTCCAATTTTGAATCGGGCTCGAATCGCTATCGGCCCAATGTGCGCATTGGCAATTGGTTCGAGGACATTTGCCTGGAGGAGGTAAATAAATTGAACAGCTGCAATTTATATGTATAATTATTTATCAAGTCTAATTGCAGGACAAAATTGTCAGCTTCAGGAAGATGCGCGATCGCGGCGAGCTGCTGGTTGAGAAAGCGCGCACGCTCTTCGACAACTTCCAGAAGGAGGTGCAGCTGGCGGCACCCAAGCACGATATTACCATCGGCGCCACAATCCAGCTGATGCCCATCTATATGAACATACTTGATATGGACACATCAGAGCTGCATCCGGCCCTTTCGGTGGTCATCAACGAGCACGCAATACGCACCAGTCAAACCATTAACGAGGATTGCGAGCTCACTGTGGCGCCATCGGAGCGGCCCTGTGTGCGCAACTCCTATCGCATTGTCAGCGGGGATGACCACGATCGCACCGGGGAGAAGCTCAAGTATGGCCAGCGCTTTCGGCTGGAGTGCGTCGAATCACCCGATGATCCCATACTGCTATACAGCGCACCCAAACTGAACAATCTGTCACAGGCCATCAACACGACCTTTAATTCGGCCAAGTACGGGGAAATCAATTTGCCGCTAGGCTTGGTGCATCGCAGTGTGCGTAATATATAATGCCCATATGTACTGCGATGTCTATATAAATTATATTCTTGCAGAAAATCATGTGCCGCGATGGAGACATACCCTCGGCCTTTACCAACTGGTTTTGCATGCACGTCGATCCACACAAACGCTTCGAAAGCGAGGGCGAGACCTTGCCCGTAAGTAAAGATCCAATATACACGCTTCTTGAGATATGCCCTAACTTCTTTGCCTTTCTGCTTTCAGAGCAACTCGCCTTTGGTAATTGTTCATGCGGCCACGAATCGCAACCTGGCCGCTGAGAATGTTGTTACACAAACCCTTTTCGGTCCAGAGTTTTTGGTTTCCGTTCAAAACTATCGCAACGTCTACAAGCGTGAAATCTGGAAGAATGTTTGGATGATCAGCAATGGCCATCACACTCACGCTGCCCATTAAAAACCTGAAGCAAACACATAAATTATCCGTACTCGTGTGACGAGTAAAAGACCGTTAAAGCCGACACACTTTTGCCTTAACCAATAAACACAGAAGGCCATGGCAATTAACTGTTTTGCGAACTTCTAAATGGCCAAATTTTGCACTAGAAACAGGGTCAGGCCAGGCCCCCGCCGCTAAGCTACGATAAGGCAGCAAGGGGTTTGATAATGTGCTTGTAGGAACTTGGTATCTAAGACTTTGTTTACAATAAGCTATGTATTAAAATAGGAATTTATAGTAGGTTGTATCTAAATATCTGCACGCTTGAGAAAGATATCTTAATTTGGTATCGCGATTCGTTTGCCTTCTCATTTCGGTATGAAATATCTGCGCCCCTATAAAGTATGTGTTATTTTATGTCAACAGAGAATGCTACAAGATCATCTATAAATAAAGTTGTATTTCACGCATTCGATCATTAAGTAGTCATAATCTTAAGCTTACTGTAATTTATGATATTTAAATATTTTTTATGTATCATGAAGATTAATTGTGGTCTAAGGACCATCTCATGTGCCCAACTGTAGTCTCCAACCTTGGTGAGAAGCTTTTCTTAATATTGAATGTAGCTTGACCTATTTGAGGGTGTTTTTTTTTTCTTTTCAGGGTCGGTACACAAATTCGCACACGGAACTGGGTCGGCCAAGCTCCCGCTGCTAGGTTGATAAGGCCCAAGAGCGCCAACTACGTTGACTATAAAACCACCAGCCCAAACAGTCAGCCAGCATAGTCAAGTTCTGAAATGTCTTCGATCTACAAGCTACCGACTGCGCTGGTGCTGTTTCTGCTCACCATCGTTGGCCCTGGTGTCCAGGGTGCGGAGGTGCCGCGCATTATTGGCGGGCAGTTTGCATCGCCGGGACAGTTTCCGTATCAGGTGTCGCTGCAGCTGAAGGGGCGCCATCATTGCGGCGGATCCTTGATTTCCGATACGGTTATTGTGACTGCGGCTCACTGCACAATGGGCCAGAATCCCAGCCAAATGAAGGCGGTGGTGGGCACCAACGATCTGGGCGCTGGAAATGGACAGGCATTTGGCATCTCTCAGCTGATCATACATCCACAATACAATCCACAGAGCCAGGACTTTGACATGTCGCTCATTCGGCTCAGTACTCCTGTGCAGCTGGGCGGTGCCATTCAGACCATTCAGCTGGCGGATGCGGATGCCAACTACGCGGCGGATACCCTGGCCACCATCAGCGGATTTGGAGCCATCAACCAGAATCTACAGCTGCCGAATCGCCTCAAGTTTGCCCAGGTGCAGCTCTGGGGTCGCGACTTTTGTAATGCCCAGAACATACCTGGACTAACGGATCGCATGGTGTGTGCCGGACATCCTAGCGGGCAAGTTAGCTCCTGCCAAGGTGACTCTGGTGGACCATTGACCGTTGATGGCAAACTGTTTGGCGTTGTCTCTTGGGGATTCGGGTGCGGCGCCAAGGGTCGCCCAGCAATGTACACATACGTGGGCGCCCTAAGGTCCTGGATAAAGCAGACTGCAAATGTTTAGCTCAACTGATATGATACTTTAATATGGGCCCAATGCAAATAACAATGAATTGTACGATTTAAAATAAAAATTAGCTATTCCTCAGATGACGCCAATATCCTTGAATTCAGATTTATGAAGCCTTGATAACGCACCATATCCTTTAGTAATCTGTTAGGCTAGAACTATTTTTGTTACAAATGTACATTAAAAATTCAGATAGTCAATGGTTTCTAGATGACTATCATATCCTTGGTTATATCATACCATTGATATAGTCCTAGTGAACCTAAAGGACCGAATGCCTGCGAAATACGCACGAAAATGGCGCAATAACATAAGTGAACGCGTTTTCTTTCAGTGCCCCATTTAATTAATATTCAATAATGAACGGTCATTACGAACCGTTGGCTCCCGAAACTCAAATAAAAATTTAGCTGAAGTACCTGGCGAACAGGAATCGGCAGAAGGCACACAAAAAATCAAAAATTAAAAGTTAACAGAGACTTTACAGCTGCCGTTGCCACTGAATAGCCGGCTGTTAAGTTAAAATATACGTGTCCCTTTCGGATATGCAATGAAATATTTCATAAAAATATTGTTGATCGTCTACCTGCTGTTTTCTGTTCGCCTGGTACTTTTGTCAAATTTTCGTTTCAAATCTGGCGCAGTAGCAGGTGCTACATAACAGACGACCTAACAGCTGTTATTTAACAGTCGACTTCCAAGTTGACAGTTACCTGCCCTTTTCGGATATGCAATACAATTTTTCATGAAAAATATTTCTGTTCGCCTACCTGCTGTTCTTTTCTGTTCGCCTGGTATTTTTGCCAAATTTTTGGAAAATAAGATGAATAACATGAATTGCCGCTGCCACACTATCGTTCTTACAGAGTACCTAACAGCTGCTAATTAAGAGCCGCCGCTTAGATTCTGTATTGTTAACAGAAGCCTAAAATTGTTTTCCTTTTAAGTACTAATCGGGAGTCTGCTATTTAATTTATATAATTTATTTATTATTCATTACATTAATTTCCTTAAAGTTCAAATTTCACTCAAGCTTATAAACATACGAGAAGAGCTTGTAAATATGCGTATTTAATGTCAAATCAGACTTTAAATGGACTACAACTAGAATAACCAGGACATTATCTGTGGCCAATAATATTGGGGTAAGCTAGTAGCCAACGAGAAGCTGCTACATGGATAGCTGAAAAATAATAATACCAGCAGTCTTACATCTTATAGAATATTTATGTGTTTTTCCATTTTCTTTCTTTCGTTTATGGTGTAAAAGGAATGAAAATTGGTTGCATTTTCGGACTTTTGCAATTTCAGAACCAATTTATGGTACCGGTTTGTGCACAATCTAATCGGTACTAAAACCCGCTATGAGTTTGGTTTGCATCTGCTTCTGGTACATTTTAGTCAGGACACAAACACTTTGGAGTGACCATATTTATAGGTTTTCAATAGACGAAACAGGTTTTTCAGTACACGAAGTGTTTGTTTATTTGTAACTATATTTGTGTCCTTGTACAGCTTGTGCAATTGCTTAAGTACTAAACATTCACTACGCACTTAGGGTATTATTATATCATTATCAAAAGTTTCTTGACCACGTTTATGGCTTTTGGATTGTACGCTAATTGTAAATGTGGGTACGATCGCAAATCAAACAGGACATGACAACTATATCGTGATATATATATATATATATATATAATTTAACATTAGTGGCTAGCCAAGAATGGTATTATATGTGTGCTATTCGACCATGTTTGATTATTTACATTTGCGATATAAAATTGTACAGTTTATAGATATTTACAGTCGGTTCTGCTTGTGACTTAAATTATACCCATTGGAGCTGGGAGATAAACAATTATGCTGGTATGCTGTGTGTTTGCATATTATGTTAGTAAAAAGTAGAAGGCACTATTGCATATTTGTGTCTTAACATTAAGTACCTAGCTCTATACTTTAGTGATATCCATAAGTCTGTCTGAACTGATGATATACTACATACAAAAAGTATCCACTACAAGCGGGCGTTGTCTAACAAACGCGATATGTTGTCCTTGTTTACAACAAAACGCACAAGAAATACATAATTTTTTTTTTTGTATTTTTAAATAAAAAAATAACTATAAGTAAGCCCTCTAAATATAATTTGGCATAGGTTTCTCCTTGTTTTCTTTCAAATTTTCGATTTAGAACTTTAGCTTAAAAACAAAATAAATAAAAGGAAATAGCTAACGCAATGGATGTCCCACATAAGTACATACTTGTCGGCAATTGGGAATGCTAGGGGCGGCGGGCACATAAGTAAATCGGGACGAGGGGCGGGGCATAATCACCAAATGCTTTCCAAACTACAACAATAATAGACTTAAAGCAAGACTTACGGACTAAAACATATTTGGAACGCGACTTTTGCAAAGCCATTCAGATGTCAGGAGAATTCATTAATAGTACATATATTGTATATATATATTTATACATACATATAAATATACATGATACATATATGGATTACTGCACTGCACAACACAACTCGGTTATTGGCTTTCTGCAATTTTAAAAACGTCAGTTACACACAAACCTTTCTTTCGCACACTCACACACACACACACACACACACACACAGTCACAGGCAAACGCACACAAAGTTTGCCTTCAAAAAAAATTGTGCTAAAAAGTTTTTAACTTGTAAATGCAAAAATTGCGCTACGACTTGCTAGTTGAACCCAGCTGGGTTAACTACTCTATAGATTACATTTTAAATAGCTATATTTATATATTAATTAATTTTTAAATGTGCTACGCTTGGAAAACTTAGGATCTACTGTACAACAGTCGTTCTCTTTCTTGCATGTGCGCTTACAAACTAACTCAGCTAAGTTTATCGCATTATTTAATTGGAATAGAAATAAAAAATGTGTGTACATAAATTACTGATAGTATGCACTGCTTTCGCGCGTGAATGTGTGTGTATGAGTACGTGTGTGTGTGTGTGTGTGTGTACATGTTACTGCTTTAGTTAAAAGCCATGGCAAATACTTTACTACTGCCTATTGCACAACTCTCGCAGGCCGTGTCATTTGATTAAAAACTATCGTTAACATCTAATCCTACGCCTACTGCTGCTGCTGCTGCTGCTCCTGTTCAGTATCCTTGAATGTCCTGCTATGCGCGCATGCTCTGCAATGTGGGCACCAGTATGGTGCCCTTCGCATAGAAGTAGCCTCACAACTTGGAGCTATCGTAGTTCTCCAGCAGCCAGTGCTGGCGTAGGTGCGAGGCATCGCACTCCTCCATGATGAGCTTGTCCTTGCCTTCATTGATGGCGAGGCACTTGCCCGAAGAGCCGTGATGCAACAGTTTAGTGTTCTCATGATATGTCCAGAACTGAAACAGAAAGGAAATGTTTATTGTATAAATAATATATAATTATGCTTGTGTAAATACTCACCTGGTTGCCTTTGGAGCCGTGACAGCCGAAGAGTATCACATCCTTGCCGGCATAGTCTAGACAGGATTGATCGCGTCGTATTTCGCCAGCCTTGCTCAGCATCCAATACTACGCAGGTGTAATAAGTGGGGCGCAGATAAAAGAGAGGAAAACTTTCATTAATACAAATTGCGGCAGCAAGTGCGAGAAACTGTTGCATAACATTCAAGCCAAGTAGCCGCATTACTTAGTATTATTTAATATTAAATTAAATGCCAAAAGCTGCTACACGTCGGCTGTCTGTGTGTGTGTGTGTGTGTTGTGTGTGTGTGTTGTGTGTGTGTGTGTGTGTGTGTGTGTGTGTGTGTGTGTGTGTGTGTGTGTGTGTGTGTGTGTTGTGTGTGTGTCTGTGTTTTGTCTGCGGTCTTGCCATGATTATTTATAATTTAAGTTACGCTGCCAGCAGCTGGCCTGGGCTGGGTCTGGCCTTTATTGTGGCCAAGGGCCACGTTGTGCCCGCTCGGCCGCCATTTTGTTGTGTTACTATTTCCGCAACCGGTTGCCACAACTGACCGCGCTGATGATGTTGGCCATGTGAATGCCATTCGGTTTGTTTATTGTGCTTTGCTGCCACAACGCTGCAAGCACACATTTGTAATGTTGCAACATTATTTTCAATGCTGACATTTGTTTTAGGCCCAAACACTCAAATGGTATGTGCGGAAATTGGTTAAGCGCTCAGTGAAACTGCCAAGCTGATGACTTCTTCAGATACCCTAACAATTGACTTTAGTTTTTATTCTTTTCTTAGACAGCTGAGTTGGCCAAGTGGAGCCGTCTTTGGGCAACCGCAACTCGGGACAACATCTCTATATTGGCTTGTTGTAAAATATCTTTTAATATTAATATTTAATTAGTTGAGCTTGGTAGATCTAGTTCATAGTGATTCGTACTGTACGGACGGGGCATGCATATTTGCTAGCTTTGATTGAGTACGAATTTGGCTGTTTTTTGTTGCAGCTTCTGCTAAAAACAAAGTTACCAATACTAGCAAGCGCAACTATATCGTCTATCTGATATGCATCTAAAATATCGCCCAGGGCATTTCATCCTTGACAGTCCCTACCAATCCCATTCTCTTTGAGTTTCCACCAGGCGCACAGTTTCTTTAAAATTTTCATAAATAAATAACAGTTAAAACTGACGTTTTCCATGTGTTTGCCGCCCTCTGGCTTCACTCTATATTTGCATTTAACATTTTTACTCGTTTACCACCGCCTGCCACACATGCATGCCACTCCCCCCAGCCCGCCCTCTCCCCTGCTTGGCAGCCTGCTGTGTGTGTCCTTCATTTGCTCGGTTTACATTTGCATTTCCCTTCCTTTAAAAACCTTTTTGCCAGGCTTTTCTTTGGTAAAAAGCTTTCTCTTTTTCTTGCAGCGTGTTGCATTTTTAATTATGTGTGTATCTTTTTCATTTACGTTTAAATTTTTTGTTTTTTTTTTTTTTTTGGTATTTTTTCACTTCGTAATATGTTTTTCATAAGCGCTGTAGCAACATTTGTGCGCTGCAATTTTTTCAATTTTTTTTCTAGACCCGCTCGCAGATATGAAAATGAAAATTTTTTCATTATATTGCGCGGCTTTTTAGTTGTTTTTGTTGCCGCCACAGGACTGGGCTAGCCGAGAGATCCTTTGACGCGGCGCTAGTCAAAAGAATTGTGCAATTTCTGCTGCTCCTCCTCCGCCCACCCCCTGACCATGCAAATAGTTTTTTTCCTCCCCTTCCCATATTTTTTGTGTTGTTTGCAATGCGCGAAATTAAAATTTGCCACGCCCACACATTTGGTGTCCCCAACGCTCGCAAATGTTGATTATTTTATCCAGTCGCGTTTTCACATCCGAGTTGCCTTTAAATACCCTTCAGTAAATTGCTAAAAAGGGTATATGTGAACTAAGAACTAGTTCATTTAATGTGTATTTTACAAGCTCTAAATGCGCTTATTGGTTTTTCTGAAGGGTATTTATGTAGTCTGGCTAGCTATTAAAATGACAGCTTTTCTTTCCCCTTGCCTCTTTTCTTTCTTTGCAGCGTTTTGTTGCATTCCAATGGGCTGGGCGGCCCAGTTGAAGGTGTGCGCGAGGGGCGTGGCAAGCAGCCGCCTGGCGATTTTTCGTGCGTTTTTGTGCGCGGCACGACGCGCAACGAGGTCAACACTTTCCATTTAATGTTGAATAAACAACAGAGAACCACAAAATACATCTATATATGTGTGTGTGTGTGTTTAGAGTTCTATGCGTGTATGTGTGTGCGTGTGTGCATTGCAGTTGATTTGTTTTTGTTGTCGAAATGCTTGTTATTAAATGTTCGTAAAATTGTCACAGTTTTTCCTGCAACTGCTGCTGCTGATGTTGTTGTTGTTGTTGTTTCTGCTGCTGCCGCCGCATTTGTTGCTGGTTGTGTAAAAGTCTCATTCAACACGCAGCCGGCAAAAGCAGATCCATGGAAATGATTTATCATTTTTGTCATTTTATTTATGATTGCGATTTAATTAATTTTGCTACGTTGCATAAATCTCAATTCCCAATGCGTGTGTATTTGTGTGTGTGTTATGTGTGTCTGTCGTGTCTGTCTGTGTTGTGTCCTGTATTATTGTCAATGCAGTTTGCACACCATTTTGGCAATATTCTTTATGTGGCAAAAACAAAAACAATTTGATGATAAAGACTTTCACTTGGGCTACGGCTAAAGGTTAAATAAATGCTATAAACGTTTGAAATTTTTAAGAAAACGTTAACAAAGAACAACAAGTTTTTTTCTTAAACCACAAACTCCGTGAAATTAGTGTTCAAAACCGCAGGACTATCAAAATTTTGTTGAATATTAGACGAAGTATGAGGCTAAGGGATTTTTCAAATTTCCATTAAAAAAGATTAACAAGCTCCCAGGGCCGGAATCGTAACAACGCAGTAGGGGGAAACATTCACAAAAATTAAAGTGGGGAACTTTATTAAGAAGATATAATTATACACTTAAATGTTGGCCTGAAAATTATTAGAATAGATTAGAGCGAAAAGGAGCTTTAGAAAGTGCTTAACACCAAGCTTACAATGTTTTTTATTTAAAAAGTAACCAGAGTAGCCTTCGGCGAAGATCAAAAGTGTTAAAGGTTAAAGGAAACATCCCGTATCAATCGATTTGAAATGGACCAAATTTTAAGAAGAAAAGAAATCATAGCCAACTGTAAAGTTGAGCTTAATATGGAAAACTACAAAAAAAAAAAAACCAAATTATGGAAATTCGAGAAACAACATTTACAATAAATATATATATATATATATAAATCAAAAGAATTAGCTCAACAGTTGTATCTGAATAAATACATATTAATATTAAAATAATGAAATAAAAAGAAATAAATTAACTTTGGGTTAACTATGTTAGTTTGTGTAGCTCTTTGGGAGAATATTTGTTTATTAAAAAGTATCCCCATAAAATGTTAACACATAAGAGAATATTTATATCATTAGTTCGGTTCTTGAAATGATTTGTATATTTGTAATCAGGTTCAATACGAGTTTTGAATTGTGTTTAGAAGTCGAAAGGTTTGATTTGGATTTACCTAAATGTTAGATATTTCCATAAGTATGAATACAAAATCAGTACCAGTTAAGTGTTGTATAGAGTCAATTGGTTAAAGAAGCAAGCGAACAAATTAAGTCTACAACTAACTACTGGCAATTATTTTAAGCAAAACAACGACGAAGCACTCGAACGACTGATAGAGCAGATGGAGCCGAAACCAGTGTAAAAATATGTTGATGACAGTCCACCGCCCCCACAGGTGGGGGCGTGACAAGGCAGTTTGAATTGTTGGATGTGGAGTTGGATACCTGATGTCCTCCTTGGCCGTGGCACGGGTAGACACCGACAGGCGATTCGTCCCCGGTCTTTGGAGCATCGACGCACATGTCCGTATTAATGCTTTTAATCTGTAAATTAAGTTGGATTCGTCAAATGGGAGCGAGCGAGAGAGTGAGCAGTATAACGGTGTTGGTGACAACACAACCGTAACAGTGTTAGAAAACGGACAGCGGCTGTAATTGTTATCGTTATCGAGGAGCTGTGAGTAAAAAACTATCGCCCCATGCGCCAAAGTTAAATTGTAGTGAAATTAGTAGAGTTTTGTTTTTGTGGGAGCGAGCAAGACTGTAGGGGTTCGCAGTCAACATAAAGACGGGTACATATATATATATATATATATATATATATACATATATATATATATGTGGATACATCTTGACGGTTTTGTGCTTCAACGGAGTTTGTGGCGGTCGCAGTGCTGTTGTTCTTCGCTGTTGGTGGTAACAAACCTGATTGCCACCCTGCTTGTGGCACGGATATAGGCCAACAGGCTTCTTCATGTTCCGCTTGCCCGTCGGCGAGTCCAAGCAGGTGCGACCGCCATAACCTAAGTTCCTTATCTGCGAATTGGGAAATATACATGTATGTGTTTTGTTCGTGTTGTTATAACCATAAAATGGCACATTAATGGGTTAGTTGTATTGTCTGTATCGGAACGGCGGGTACAACGGGGGGAGGATGGGGCCATATCTCCGATATATAGCCGCTTACCACACATGCCACATGCCACATGCTGCACGATAGCTGCGTGCCTAACGAAGAGGAACACGTGCAACTTACCTCGCCATTGGCCACCGCATCACCGGGTATGAAGAGCTCCGGATAAATGTTGTCCAAATACCATTTGAAAGATTTGCACTGTAGATCCTCGCTAGAGTGGAAAAATTAGAGATAGACCAAGCAATTAATAGATTAATTAGATTATGATTCTTATAGGTTACAAAATAGAGCTAATATTTTATTCCTGTGCGCTTTCGTTAATTGAATAAAATTACTGTGCAACCAAAACATGCTTTGATTAGTATTTAATAAACTCACTAATGACTCCAATGAAACCCAAACATTTGACGGACTAAGCCTTAGCTTCTTATGTTTGTATATTGTCCTTTTATTAACAAAATAAATATATTTTTATTTCTTTTTTTAGGTTTGTTTTTACTAGATTTCCAAATACGCCCAATTTATTGTCTTTTTATATCTTTATTTGCACTATGCGCTCTGGCATTTTCATCAGCTTAGCTTAAATACATATATAATCTATCTTATAGCTTTCTGTATACACTTTCTGTGGGTACTTACCGCAGCTTCTTGCGTTCGCTAACGTCACCGTAGTCGCCTTTATCCATGCCAATGCGCTGAAGATAATACTTAGAGTAATCATCCATCCAGACCTCAGCGAGACGAACCGAATTCTTTTTCAGCACATTCACGCCCGTGCGCCACTGCAAGAGATGGAGAAGAAGAGGGGGATTGAGACGGAGATGAAGATAGCTGAATTTACATAGCAACAATTGGGCTGCAACTGGCACAACAAAGCAGCGGCGCCAAAAGCCAGTGAAAATATTTGGCAAACAAACAGTTCGGGCTTATACAATGGAGTTGAATCTGAATCAAAAGCTGCAGCTGGAGCTTATCGTAAGGCCGAGTGGGCAGGGAGGGCGCAGCAGGGCAGCCTAATTACCTGAATCAGTCGGTTAACGTAATGTGTACCAACTTCTGCCGGTTGTCCACTTGCTGCTGCAGCTGCAGCTGCTGCTGCTGCTGGTTGCTTTTGTGGTGCGTCTCTGCGGTTATCTGTCTTCACCAACCCACTTTGCCCCACACATGATCCCGTCCCTGTATGCCCAACTGTGCATTGTTCTTGTTTATGCATTTACTGTGTGTGTGTTCGTGTTTGTTGTCCTTGGCAGTTTTGTAAGGCCTGTGGCAAGGCACATATGAAGTAAATGGGCGCAAAACTTGTACTCTACATTCGCTTAACTATAGATAATAATTGGAAGAGTAGTATTTCGATATTATTATTTTTAAAAGTTATCGTTCAGCTACCTTTCAATTATACACATTTCCATTTAATAAGCGCCTTTACGACGGCCGATCGGAATGAAGATTTTCCGATAAATTATCGATTCGTGCAACAAGTTATCGCTATGATCGCATTCATCGTTAAAGCATCAATCATTAGAAGATTGCAGTCTTTTTTCGATATGTTATCGAGTTGCTGGATTCTTAATCGATTAATAAAGTTTGAAGTAACTTTTAGCATAGTCTATATTTTGCAATGAATTATAGAATAAATGATCAATGACTACCTGGTAGACTCTCTTATTTAATCGATAGACTCGAACTGCAGAGATTGAATTGAAATTCTGGCCAAAAATGTTGGTCGCATGAATAAAACATGCAACTCGGATGCAGCTCCTAAATGGCTTATTTGCCCATAACTGTAGCTGCTTTCATGCTCAGAGAGCTCCTCTTAGCCTTACCCCAAATTTCTTGTTATTATTTTGGAGCTTATTGGCCAGTGCGGCAGGTATCTATAGAGTTCGTTGTAGCTTAATGCAGAACTTGCCACACTGACAGACACAACAGTTGCCAAACTTTTGTCAAGCGTAAACCGTTGATAATTGAGGCAACAGCCAAAGGCTGAGGCACAGTAGCCGCAGAGCATGTTCATGTCCTTGTCCATGCAGAGGTTCGGGTTTGGGTCTGCGTCTGGTTACGTGTTTATGTCCTGCTGCTGCTGCGGCTGGCATGTGCGACATGTGCACAGAGGGAACCGCATAGGGCCACTGTTGACCAAACACGAACCTCGACCACGCACACACACACACACACACACACACATCACAGCTGCCTGTGTGCGCAAGTTTTAAATTCTCAAATGGTTGGCAATCGCCTTTGGGATGAGCGTTAATGAGCGCTGAGTGCAGCAGATTGGGACATGCACACTTACCTTGTAGGGCGAACGTTTGCGGAATATGTGGCCCACATGGGAGCAGGGCACAATTTCGAGTGTGCCGCCGCACATCCATGTCTTGAAGGACAGCTCCAGATTTTCACCGCCCCAGATATCGAAACCAGAATCGTAGGTGCCCAAACGCTCGAAGAACTCACGGTCTATCGAAAACAGACCGCCGGCCATCGTAGGCGAGTAGACAGGCTCCGCTGTGTTCTGCAAGTAAATAAGCAAACGATATGTAAATAAAATTAAAGACTAGCGCATGTAGAAAAGAATAATGTTTAAGTCTGCTTGGAATGTGCATCAAGTCAAATTGGAATCCCATAAGCACATTTAATTTCACTAATTGAAACCGGAGCTCATCATGTGTCGGCTCGTTTGGTATCTCAAGTGGCCAACACCTAAGCAAACTTCTAAACCCACGTCCGCCCCCTCCTCTCGAGTGCCCCAAACTGCCAACTCGCCAGCTCGCAGCTCACAGCTCACAGCTGGCATCTGGCATTTTCTTTGGTAGCCAGCTTCACTCGGCTGCCATGTTCGCATACTTTCAACAGCTTGAAAACACTTGAGGCTACATTTTATTTAGTACACATTTTCCTAAGCTTTTTCGCACCAACTCCACAACAACCCGCTGCCCCTTTCCCTCAAGCAGTCCTCATCTGTTGTCTCTTGTTAGGGCTTTCCACAAATTTTGCTTGTAATTGAATATTTTGTGCTGTGTATTTGCTTTGCTCTTGTTGCCTTCTGACCAGCCGGTCTGCCATTTCGACAGGGACTCTCTGGTGAGGGCGAGCAGATCCCCTGCTCCTTCTTGTGCTGTGGCATATTTTATGCGCTGGCACATTTTGCATTTAATTGGAGAATTGCATTTCATTTTCATTGCAATTTAATTACAATTTTTGCTTGTTTTGCAGCAGGCAACAGCTGCCTGCAGCATTGGGTTTCAGTTCATGTCGAATGATTCAAAATAAATACTGATTTTTCCATCTTTTTGTGATTTCTTTTATGTTTGCTGCAAATAAATGAGCAGTAAACAAAAATCCAGCAACAAATGTGCGTAAATAATTTGCGAAATGTTAATAAACACAAGTTAATAACAATGCATATTTTTCAACAGATTATTTCAGTATTTTTATTGCGATTTCATTATGCAAAACAACTTTCAGCTCAAAAGTATGCAAATCAAACTCAACGTTGCGGATACGCAATATGAAATAAAAGTCATGTAAATCAACAAAAGCTACAAGAAAAACAGGCCTGTCAAATAAAGGCGAACCCAGAATGACGAAAGCAAAAGGCAGAACGCAATCTGAATACTCTACTTAAATGCTTACATTTTAATTACATGAAATAATATTAAAAAGCTTAGTAAGTGAAAAGCATTAAGCTGGAAGTTCAACTTAAAGTTCTTGTTATGCAACAGTATTAAGGTAACATTAAGATTTGAATCACATTTTTGTTATAGTGTAAATTACAAGCCGTAAAGCTTGCTAAACACTGAAAGCTCTTAACTTAGCTTGCCTTAAAAAGCCAAAAGAAAATATTAAAATAAGATTTATGTATTTTGTTAGCGTATACCAAGTGTTCGCAATTGAGTTTGGGAAGAAAACACTCCATATGGAGATGCCACGTGGGCCAGGCAAACAAAATCCCAAAGTTGAGGAAGTTTGATTTTAAAAAGAACGGCAAAAGGAAGCGTGGAATAAATGAAATTGTCACTGACTGACAGCCTGGGGAGCTGTCAGCAGTGCTTCAGCTGGAGCGAGAGGCGCAAGGCATGGCATATCGCTAAGCAACTAAAAATATGTAACTTAAAGACAACAACAATAGCAAATGCCTGGCGAGACGAGACGCAGCAACAGCAGCAACAAAAACAAAAGCGTTCCGCGCGGCAAGAGGCATGCGGCATGGGGCATGCAGCACAAACAAACAAACGGCAGGCAGTGAGTGAAATCTCCAAACGCGACAAGTGCCATTGTGTTTTGGGCGAGTGAGAGCGCGTCAGGGCCAGAATGGCGGAATGCCAGACGGATGTCAGATAGTCCAGGAATGAGAATAGTGGGTGAGGCTACAGCCATGCCTTTGGCGGCTGTTGGCAAATTCGCAGTGTGACATTTAATAAACGCTGCTGGCGCAAGGCAACAGTGAATGCCACTGTTGGGGGAACAGCGGAGGGAGGGGTATGCCAGAACGGGGTAAAAATAACAATAACAACAACAACTACAACAAGAACTACAACAACATTGTAGGCCGGCAGGCAGCGGCAATGGGAGACCAACGGAAGCAGCATGCGGGCGGCCATTTTTTTTTTCTTTTATATATATATACATTTGTTGTTGCCGCCGGAAGTGACAGAACAAATGGCAAAAGTGAAAAGCAGCAGCAACAAAAACGCAGCCTTCATTCGAGTGTGCGTGCGCGTGTGTCTGTGTAATATATGCATGTGTGTGTAAGAGGATTTTATTGTTATAGCGGCGTTTTTTTGTTCGCTCAACATCCTCCTGAGTACATTTTTTTTGTGTATTGACATTTTTTTGGTTTAACACCCTGGCGAAGGGCATAATAGCCTTGTCACTAAAGCAGAGATATTTAATATATATATACATATACATATATATTCATGATCAGCTGTGTCGATAAAGCTGCAACTGTCTCTCAGTCTGGTCTAAAGACTATATGCACAATTTTCTATTGAACAAATTTGCAGCATAGGGTATTCAGCGTGCGGCGTGAAATACTCTCTCTTGTTTATGGTTTGTTTCATGAGCAGAGGAAATGGAAGTAAAAACGAAAATAAGTTTCTTATGAAAATAAACTGAAATGAAATAAAATTCAGCGCTGAATAAATAAATAAACACCAAAAGATGAGGCAAGTTGCAGTTGCAGTAGCAGTGGCAGTGGCATGTGGCAGTGGCATGTGGCATGCTACAGTTGCCATTTGCTTTTGCAGTTGCAGTTGCCGTTTTTTGTGCAAACAAAGTCGCATAACTTTTCGCTTTTGCCATACGTCGTCAACGTTCTCATTTAATGCGGCTTAAATGATTCAACAGCGGATAAATATGGGCACTTTTTTTTTGCCCATGTGTGTGTGAGTGTGCGTGTGCGTGTGTGAAAGTGGGTGGGTTAAGGGTTACGTGTGACAACAACAAGCGAATCATTCAGAGTGCAGCATGCGGCATGCAGCATACGAAATGAATTTGTTTGGGCAGCCTTATGAACAGTAAGAAGTTGATACCCACCAGGCTCAAGGGCTCAAGGGCCTCGAACGGCTTAACCAGCTTTTCAGCGATTGCGATGAATTTTACTTGATTTATAAACCAATCAATCAATTCAATTTTGCGAAGATATGCCCAAACAAAGACTTCACTCCGCATACGCAATCAACCAAGAGCTTAAGCTTAAGTAAGGGGAAAGAATTGCTGGAAGATACCCTGTGACTAGGGCTGGTAGAGCGGGTATTTAAAACTAAGTAGCAAGCATTTAAGGCGCAACTTCAAATATAATAGACGGGATTTTCATTTGTGTATAGTTTCTAAAATCTTACAAACTATTAATTAACTTTTTGAAAATAATAGTTAAGATATTTCTGATAGCTAGCCGGACAGGCTGAAAAATTTTCCCCCACCGTGTCGGAGATTTCCCATTACTTTTCTCTTTGTCCTATCCACTTAACACTCTTTATCTAACTTACATTGCTTTACTTTATTAACAATTTCCTTACTTTCTTTTTTCCTATTTATTGTATTTTCTTTATTAATATAGAAAATTAAGATTATTTTTAATTTCACTTGAGATCACTTTTTTCCCACTTACAACCTTCTGCTTAGATGTAAGCTCTAATAGCGTCACTGACAAAATTAGCTGTGAAAAGGGGCACAGCTGGCCGGACTGGCAAATAAAACACCTCCATCGGTCGGTGATGCTATTTAGAAAATTGTATCCTTTAACTAGGCTTTTTTTAGCATATAATTATATTGTACAATCTTTTGAATAATGAGGAAGACACTCGTTTTGTCGACCATTAATAAATAAATAAATAAATTTCTTTCTCGACATACCTATTATGGACAACTCGCCTGCTGGGTATCTTTAGCACCGCACATTTCTCACAGGACTTCAATGGCGAAACGACTAGCCTATTTAGATATCAAATAAATCTAGCGGCATTTATTATGCCAGACAGAGTGCGGGTGACACCATTTTTGCTGAAAAATGACAGGTCCTTTGGCCGCCAAAGCCATTCGTCAACTCTAGAGCAGACAAGAGAGAGACAGAAGGAAGAGAAAGGGAGAGAGAGAAAGAGAGAGGGAGAGCTTTGGCAGGGAATCCTTACAGCATCCTCCGCCGTCGGCAACCGCAAATTAAGCAGGCGGAACGAGCGAGTGCCCCAGTTGTGTGTGAGACACAAGCGCCACAATGTGTGCTATAGAAATAATGTGCTAACCTGCGGGCTGCCAACAACAACAACAACAACAACCGGAGAAAAACACCAACAACCACATTAATACCAAATAAAACAGTCACGAAAAGCGGCGGGCGGCGCCAAAAAAAATATGCCTAGGAATATCGTAAATGTCAGGCATCGTATTATGCGGCTTGGTAATGTGTGTGTGTGTGTGTGTGTGTGTGGGGGGAGAGGAAGGCACAAAATAGGGGCGTGGCAGACGGGAGCAAGGGCACAAAGTGCCTGCGGGCTGACGCCTGCTAGCGCCGGTTTGCAGCAATAAAATGTTAAAGAAAATATAAAGTAAAGCTCTCAGGCAGGAAGGAAAAACGCTGCTTGACATAATGTGAAGTTGACTTTTGACAAGTGCTCGTAGACCCGGCCCCGCCCCCCCCAAAACAAACACACATTCCCAGTTGTATCTGCAGTTTGAAGTGCCGCTCAATGGGGCAGGCCAACTTGAGAGTTTTCATGCCCCTTTGCATCGCATTTGCATGAAGCAAACGCTGAAAAGTCGCTACTTTCACAAAACTTACCAGTTGCATAAGTTTTGAGTAGAACTTAAGATCTGTAAGGATGCAGCAAAGCCGGATCCATCTTTCCATCTTTCAGCTACAAATTCGGTTTGGAGCAGGTGCAGCTGGATTCAAGTCGTGCTTAACCCGCTTAGCTCAACTTAAAGCAAGGCAGCTCTCAAAAGCTTATTAAAATGTTTAGTGTGGCATACACACACAGACACACAGACACACCGACACACACACACACGCAC